TAGAGAAACACCAAGGTGCCAATATCGCCAGGTTGACAGCTGGGGGCGCTGCTCTACTCCTCCTTCCTCTTAGCTCCAGGAATCTTCGCCTGGATCCTGTGAAAAAAGAAAACAAACAAACAAAAAAACAAACAAACAATTAATTTAGCCAAGTATTTAGCCGTCATTCATATAAGTGGTCTAATTTCTAATTTCTAGGCTAAACCAGGTCCCCAAGCTTTTACTACTGACCTCTAACATATTACATACAGTAAATATATATATATATATATATGTATATATATATATAGACAGATACATTTGATAATATTTTGAAAGGCTCAGTATGTTGTGTGTGTGTGTGTGTTTGGTTCAACACAGTCATGAACAAACACTCACTTTCCTACCACCGAGTTGACCTGGGTCCGTATTAATCCCACGTATTGATCAATCTGTGCCTGTTGATTGGATGAAAACCAGATGTCAGTATTTTTTAACTAAAACCGAAGCAGGTTTGACCTGGTTGTTGTTGGAGTGAAGTTGCTGTGTTTCGTACCTGATGTTTCTCATAGACCACGGGCATGGTAAACATGGAGACCACGGCTGTGTGAAGCACAAGAGGAAGAGCAACAGAGGAAATCACAGTACGTTAGCTCGGAGAACACGTCATCGGAGTATTATTTAGTACATTTTGTTTGTGAGTATTTGACTCTGAAGTCAGGATGAGCTCACCTAGAATGAGCAGCGTCAGGCCGTTGAAGATAGCTCCCACGTAGGTCAGCAGCCACATCAGCACAGCAAACTGGAACACACACACACACACACACACACACACACACGTTCTTGTAATAAACCAGCCTGTGTGATTGATCACAGCGAAATAACAAGAGCGTGTGGAGATGAGTGTGTGAAGCAAACCTTCAAGGAATCGACCAGATCCTGGACCAGGAACAGCCGGCGGAGCTCCTTCATGCAGGTGTTGGTGTAGAGCAGGATTTTGTCGGCGTATTTACTGATCTGGTCCTGGGACAGAGAGATCTCCATCTCCAGGTAGGACCTGAGGACAACAGACAGCACAGAGCCATGCAGAGACCCCCATGGTAAACCACCAACGAATCACTGACCTTTCTGTTCCACTCACTTGAAAGGATGTCCCTCATCGGTCTTCTGCACGGCCTGCAGCACAGACTTGTAGATCCTGAAGCTGATGGTGGCAGAGAGGGCAGCCAGGGCCAGGTAGGCTCCCACGCTGACGACACTGAACTGGGTCAGAGAGAAGAGCAGCAGCAGCACGCTGCTGAACACGGCTCCAGACTGTTTCACATTCCTCCAGTAGAGCAGGTCAATCGCTGAATGGTGGGTCAGAAGGACAAAGGAGACAAACGGGGTGAGGACTGAGCGCCATCATAACCTGACTCTCGCTGTCCTCCTATTTAAATTTGAATCCTGGGTGAGACTGCTGCTACACATCTGGGTCAAAAACCGGAAGCTGTTCACAGGCCGACGTCCTCGGAGATCTGTGGCTGTCACGTGATGCTGTTCTAACCCAGCTTCATAACGCAGTGTCTCTTTAGATCACACGGAGCTGTGGAAATGTGAGATTAGCCCCAGTTTTCAAAGTAGGAAGAAGAAGAAGAAGTTGAAAGACAAGAAGAAGAAGAAGAAGAAGAAGCTGAAAGACAAGATTTGTCCTCTATATTTCATTAGCACTTAGGATTTTTTTTTGCCTTGCTGATGATGGGATTCAAACCAGCAATCCTCAGATCATAAGCACAAGAACGCAACCTGTTTACACATCTTAGAGACAGGAGGTCCTGGGTTTGAGCCCCAGTGGAACCACCTGCTTAGTGCCTCCAGGGGGCAGCCTGTTGCATTAGATTTGCTGTTAAAGCAACAGTTTTCCCAGTGTGTTCAAATTATTATGATTGTTATTAATATTATTATGGACACTTTCACTTGGCAAATGTCTGATACAGTCATTAGGTGGCAGTATTGCGACCCAAATGACAGAGAGCTGCTGATCAGAAAAATCAAGCTAGAAGAAGTTAACTGGGTTTGCTTAGCCTAGCTGCAAAAACTGACTACTGTAACTGATGAATCTCAAAATATGTGTTCTGTCACAGCGCCCCCTGCAGAGAAGGAAGTAAGTAAGATAAAAGTAAGCAAGAGAGAAGGTTCTCGATTCTTTCGTCAGCAGCAGGTCATGAAAGAAACGAGGTCGAACGCAGTTTTCGTGGCTGTCCAGTACAGTGTGCAGTTATCAGCAGCAGCAGCAGCTTTGGTCACATACAGAACAAACAAACACACGGCGTGTGTCAGGTCAGACAGCAGGTACACAGGCTGGACATTAATGATTGATCTAATGCAGGCGGCCAGCGGCAGAGGTAATCAGCACTTCTGAGATAAAGGTTCAGAGTGACCTGTCCCGGAGCCAGCTGTGGGGTCAGTGAGGAAGGACGGCGACGCTGCGTCACTTTGGTACTTCACTAGAACAGAGAATTTGATGGAGAAAATTCTGTCCTTTCTTCTGTCTGGTTGAACCCATACGTCAAAGCTGGAGTTGTAATGAGTGAGGATTAGCCCAGTGTAACGTTCCAGCTGTGGAGACTGACACCGACCACCTCTGTGGGCTCTGTTTCCATGAGAACTGTCAGCTGCTGCTGCTCCACCGCTGCTGCTCCACCGCTGCTGCTCCACTTGGTTAAAAAACCAAACATGACTCTGTTGCTCCTGCCTGTCATAAAAGGATCAGAGCAGAACTGATGAGGTGTTCGCGTTACGTTAAAGCATGTACCCTGGGATTGAACGTTAACGATGGACGGAGATAAGAAAAACATATTTCAGAAATTCAAGGAGGGAACCAATAAAAGACAGCTGTGTCCAGGACTGGACTGTGAGGTCAAAGATCAAGAAACCTGGGATGAGAAGAGACAATGTTTCCAATGTTTATAAAAGGGAAAGGAGAGCCATATAACCCAAAGAACACCATCCCCACAGTGAATCAAGGATATGGGAGTGATTAACTTTTGTGGGTTCGGTTCTCTTCCTGAAGAACAACAACCCATTCATCTCCTCGGAGGTCATGTCCAGTCCGGTGGTCTTCTTCCAGACTTCCTACCACTGTAGGATGAGTGAGAAGCTGCCGCAGCAGGACCCGTCCATCTGTTGCTCCTGACAGCAGGTCTGGTCAGGGTTAATGTGAAGCTTTGTTCTCATCAAGCAGAGAGAGATTGACTGCTGTGGTCTCTGGGGTGACTTACTCTTCCTCTCTGAGGCGTCCGCCCGCCTGCCTGCTCTAATTTTAGCCGTGGAGCTGTGAGCAGCATAGTGATGACGGCCATCTTTACTCTCCACTAAGAGACATCCGTGGATGCCAAAAACTGGGACTGGACCTGGTTACACAGCAGTGACTGTGACTGTGAGCAGATGTGGCGGCGGATCAGTCAGTGTGAACCTTAGCTTTTCTGGATCACCTGACTCTTGTCTTCTACATCACCCCCTCTCTCCCCCCGACCTCCCAACGCCACAATGTAAAAAGACCAGTCATTCACTACAACGTGCAGCAGCAGCTGTTCATTCATCAGACAGCAGTCAGGGTTCACGCCAACTGTGCATGTGGCAACTCATCTGACTGGAGATGCTCTCTCTCTCTGTCTCTCTCTGTCTCTCTCTCTCAGACACACACACAGCAGCATCAGCAGCAGTGACAACACACACACACACACACACACACACACACACCGGTGACGGTGTCTGCTGTGGTTTTAGCTTTAGTAGAAGTGTGTACTGACCTGCGGCTCCCATGGCTGAACAGGGAAAGAAGCAGCTGCTTTATCCATGGACAAAAGGAGAGCAGTGGAGGGGGAGTAGCCTCCATACAGCAGGGGCGGGGTCAGAGCTACGCCAAACCAATCAGAACATGGCACTGAGGGAGCGAGGACAGGGAGGGAGGGGGAGCGTCTGTGTGAGCCTGCGTGTGTGTTTTTATGTGGGTGCGGTTGCCAAAAAAAAAAAAAAAAACCACACAAATGCACTAACACACATCTGAACACTCCTCCTCCTCCTCCTCTGTCTGTCTCTCCCTCTCTCTCTCCCTCTCTCGCTCGGCCCTGTTCTACTCGGCTGTAACACAACTCTGCTGATGCTGCACTAATCAGGACATTTTGTCAAAAATAGAAAATTAAATCAGACACCTTGTGTTTTGTGTTGGTTTCATGGCACACCAGCTGCTGCACACAATACCCCACACAGCCACAGGAGGCAGCGCAGATTTTCCTATTCCACTGAAACACTTTGGTGGCGGATAGCTGCCTAGCACCTGCCTGATGCAGTTGCCATAGTTACTGTGCTCCATTTTCGGGGAGGGGGGGGGTGGGCGGGGGGGGGGGGGGGGGTGAACACAGTTCCTTTGGGAAAACAGGGAGAGATTCAATTTTAATGTCCTGAATCTGGGGAATCAGTGACACATAATTTGTCTCTACACACACACACACACACACACACACACACACACACACACAGAGCAGCCACTCCCTTCACTAAGTCTGGCTCCATTGTTCACACACTAACCACCACCTCCAGCTGTGTCATCTAGAACCTCGTTCCAGTGCCAGGCTGGACCGGGGTTTTGGTGTCAGAGCGACGGTCACTGAGAACAGAGTAAATAAGATGCTGGAACTGACCTGAGATCAGTGGACCGTGGCTGTCATTCAAATATACAGGGAGAGAACATGAGCTCGGTGTGACATTATTATTTTGCTTCTTTTTATTTTGTGGAGGTTATTTATGGCAGGATTGATCCAATCGTTTGACATTTGACCTTCTCAGCTTCAAGGTTGACGTGTTGGTCATTCAGAGATTTTTTTTCTTCTTTATATCTTAGTTCTGTTTATTAGTCTGGTTGTTCTTCTCTGACCTCTGACCTGTCTTTCTAGATAGACTTTACACTTAGGAAATGTTCTGTGAAATGTTGAAACACGTGTCTCAGTCTATTAGACACCAACAGCCCTAACCCTAGAAAAGAAGTTCTGTTTCTCTCCTGACTTGAAGTGTGTTGCCCCGATCGTCTACAGGCCCAGAAATATGTCATATTTCTGTTGCTAATGTTCTGATCTGAACTGAACTGTTCATCTGGTGATGAGGCCTTCGTTCACCAAACATGTGGTTAGTCTGTTTCTGTGTGTGTGTGCAGTAGAGGTGTGTATTGGCAAGAGTCTTAGCGATAAGTGCAATACCACAGGCACAACAATATATTGAGTTTTTAAACAACTTCTTCTACATTTATAATCGATAGAGAGAAAAAATAAAATTGCAGGACAAAGTAAAATAGTTTGACTGAAAGTGTTAAATATATGCAGTCCCAGTACAATCAACTAGTGGTCAAGAGTTTAAATGCAACAAAAAAAAAAAAACGTGAATATTTGCATGTTAATTGTTAATAAAGTATATCAATACAGTGCTGTAGAATATCGATACAATATTGTAAAACTGAAATATCGCAATATTTCACCTTATCAATATTTTCTTGCACCCCTGGTGTGGAGATTTGGGACTTGAAATAACGGGAGACTTCAAGGTGATCAGGTGACTCTGAAGTCTGTGTCAGCCCCTGATCTGGTTTAATTCTGCCTGACACATTAATGTACTTTATTGATGGAGCTGTTAGAAGGTCAAACAGACTCAATAAATCACAAACCTGAGCTTTCATTCCTCCCCTGTAGGTGGCAGCAGCCATCACACTGCTCACAGTTTTTACCAGAGATTCTGTCAAAATCTAGTGAATCCAAAATGACCTGAAGGATTCTGTGAAATCTTTTCTTTTAGTCATGTGGAGCTAAAATAGTTCTTCTTTCTTCTGGTATTAAAAGTTTTTTTTTAGTTAAACTGATTATGGCAACGTGAAATCATCTTATTTACATATAATCTTAGAGTCTTAATGATGTTCAGTTATGATCGGCAAAAACCAGAGCACATGATGAGCAGCAGTGACAACAGTGTGAATCCCCCGACTCTCCTGTAGTTTAACTAGTTTAGCCTGACCTCATTAAATCACTACAGACATCTAGGCCTCAAACCAGTGATTAGCTGGAACGTGCTAATGGACCTCAGTGGGTTTTTAGTTATAATCTGGATTCAAGGAGTCGTAGAATCTGTCGTGCTTTTTGTTGAAGAAACATACAAAACTGTTTTTGATAATAGTTAAACTTAAAGGGTTGAATCTTAATCTAAATATTAAATACAAAAATACAAATGGTAAATAAAAGATCTTACGGTTACATTTAAATAAAAATATTGATTTTTATTTGTTATTGATTTGTTATAATATATTTAAATTAATTTTGTAAATGTAGTAACTTCCTGTCAGTGTGTCTCACTTTACCAACAGCAACCTGTGTCACTGCCTTTTTTTTAAATTTTTACATTTTAAACATTTTAAAATATGATCTTTGATGACACTTTGAGGTTATACTCTGGTATGTTCGATGTGTGATGCAAACCTCCTGACCTGATATTGATCTGGAACCGATATTCGACGACTGGGGAACAGTTGATAACCGGGGAGTTGCTGTAGCTGGATTTGAGGTAACGTACAAAAACAACAGCTCACATTAGAGACAACTACGTAACGTTCCGTTGCGTGCTGATGACGAGGACAGAACAGTGTCAGGGAGTCAGCAGTGTGTGTGTGTAACCAAAATGACTAAACAAAAACGCCTTTAGTTACAGAACAAGACTGAGCAAATGAAACGTCTCAGCCGCTGCAGCCAAGATTTCATACGACACAGCCTACAATGTTAACACACGAAATAAAAGGTATTAAAAAAACACTGTCTGGATTCAAACAGCACAGCGTCTGCCATACACCGTGTTCTAACAAACGGACAGAAACAGGGAACACAGACAGAGGGAGGGACGCTGCTCCACGGCCTGGTCTCTGCAAGGTGCCATGGCAGCCGGAGAGACAGTGCTGATGTAATTGGAATGGGTGTGGCCTGGTTACCATGGAGATAGTCTGTCAGTGCCGTCAAGATGCTGTGACTGCCTCTTCACACAAAAGCAGAGCATACGCCATTAAAAAATGTGCGCCTGAGCGCGGCTACAACAACGTCAACGATGTCACATTTCTGACAGACAAATCCTGATGAGTCTGTTTCACATGTAATGACTGAGGCGGCCCAGCAGCAGCTGCTCTGTCACAGACACAGACACAGACACAGACGCACCAGGAAAGGTCTGTCGTCAGGGCGTGTCTGTGTAAAAGGAGGTGCAGGGAGACAAAGCTCTCTGCTTTTTCTGACAAATACCATCATATTAAGGTGCAAAAATAGAAGCACATTCAATGCACACACACACACACACACACACTGAAGAGTGGTTTAGTGAACATAACATCCGGATGCGGTGCTAAATATCCTGCATGCAGAAACAACAGTCCGTCTCTCACAGCCACAGCACTCACACATGTCAGCACAGTAAAGACGTCAGTACCCTGGCCTCTCCAGCCGCTCCAGGAGCTCTCCTTCTTGGTCACTTCTGCACCGGCCTGCATGCTGACGATCACCTAGATCCCTGCTCTCTCTCTTACTCTGTCTTTATGGTTTTCTTCTTTGTCTCCCCTCTTCTGTAGCAAACGGCTCACTCACTCATCCCAGGAAGGCATGAATGGTGGATAAAGGATGCAGGAGGAGACCTGGGCTGAGGTGGCAGACGAGGGAGGAGAGGGAGGGACGGTGGAGACAGATGAGGGAGATGTTTCCAAGGTGCTACCGACTGGCGGAGCACGCAGACTGATGCTGTGGAGCAGCGCTGGGCACAGGAGAGGAGCAGCAGTGAAGGTAGAGAGAGAGAGAGAGAGAGAGAGAGGGAGAGAGAGGGAGAAGGAAGGAGTGCGTCCGTAGGTCTGTGTGTGTGTGTACACAGAGAGAGGAAGGACTAGCCGACAGTCGCTGCAGCACAAATCCATCAATTCCACGATTAAGACCATGTGGGGTTTAGAGGGTGGGGGTTAGAAAAGGGTTCTTAAGCATTCCTGTTAAAAGGAAAGAAGGTGTGAGGGCTTTAAAAATAAAAGGCAGAGTCATCAGAGCTCATTAATTATGTTTTCTAAAGGCAACCGTGTACAGATCGAACACATCAGGGCCAACACGGACGTTCCCTGTACGGTTGACTTTAACTGTAATAACAGTCAGATGTAAAGGGGCTTTGGCTGATGAGTCAGAATATCTGAGAAAAAAAAGCAGTGGCCTATATTAGTAGTAGCAAAACAGGTGACTATAAATTAAGGTTAGTTATTAAATATTAATGTAATGAGCAAATAAGTAAATAAATAACAAAAATGTAGGTAAAAGTAGTCCAAGTATATAATGATAAATAACAATAATAGTTTTTTTTTATCAAAATAAAATATGACAGCATCACTAAAATAGCTAGTCAATAAACAAGGTAACATTATATAAGATAAACCTCAGTTTCATTTTGCCAAAAGCAAAATAACTACATAACAGGTAACTAAATAGTTATCCAGAAATAACGTTTTAGAACACATCTTAGCATTTATTTTAAAAATAAATTTCAATCTGTTAGAGACAAAAATAGACAAATTGCTATTTGATGTTAAATAAAAACATTAAGATCTAACAATAATAAGCTAATAAAATATTACTCATAGCATAGAGCTAGATGTTAGGTATAAAATGAAGTACAAATGCTACTACATATAGCTATTGAACAGCATAGAATTAAAAAATAATAATTCCAATATTGTTCAGAAATATAGTTAACGTTAGCCAAATAGTGAATTCTTATCCAGTTAGCGTTAGCTGTGCTATACAGTAACTATGGCAAAAAAAACTGATAAACAAACGTGTCTATAAAAGCACAGCTCAGTGTTAGCTCAGTGATATGGCACTGCTTTTTCTGCCTGACTCTGTCCTGCTGAGGTTGTGAACGGCAAACACCCAGTTTTATTTTCTACAAACGCTACTAGTCTGTAGTCAGAGATTCAAACAGCAGTTTCCACTACGACTACAGGTTAATGAAGAGGCAGAGTGCTGCTGTTTTAATAATTCATTATCAGAGGCCGTCCATAACAGCACAATACTCCTGGTTTAGTGCCGTCAGGATGTGACTGTGCTTTAGGACTCCCTCTGGACTATAGCTCTAATCAAAATGGATCGCATGCTAACAGGCTAACTGCAAAGAAAACAGCACAGTCACTGTGGTGTCAGCACTGAGCAGAGCATCATTCCTTCATTGTGTTTTCAGGAATTACGTCATTTCTGGGCCATTACTCTGCCCCCCACCCCCTCCCCCCTCCAGAGAGCCACACCTCACACCTTCTGTTCAGACATAAATGCCAAAATCATCCCAGTAAATTACTAAAAAAAAAAAAAAAACCCGTCATCTTATCGTTCTCTGAACCACACTGAACAGGCACCTCCATCAACGATGCCATAGTAACGGATGTGGACGATCACGAACTGTTGACAATAGGATTTTGAAGCTCGCAGTAAAACAGAAATGACAAAGGTGCACAGCACCATCTAGTGGTAAGAAATAAGACGTGCATGACCTGCTTTTAGCATTTCCAGAAGCTTCTAGCAGTCGGTGAGTAAACAAAAACGCAGCCGTTTGAAATAGTTGGAAAATCATACCAACTTTTAAAGGAGTAGATCTACTTTTACCACTTTTACCAAAAAAAAATCGCGGCCTGGATTTATTATTATTATTGTTATCCTTGGGAAAAAACGTTAAAAAGTGGAGTCTTTAGCATGTTTTAGCTGCTTCTCAAGTCAACTCAACCAAACTGATGCAGTTTTGTACTGTAATTCTCCTCTATTACATTTTCTTTTTTTTTATAAATAATAGCAATACATTATTCTTTACTTCTAACATTACATTTTTGCTCTCCATATGAGAAAAAGAATATTATCCAAATTGTGACAAAGACTGTGGAGCAGGTGGGGGTCTGCACTGTAGAGACCAGTGGAGGAGAGACAGAACCCGTGGATGTGGGTCAACACTGAAAATGATGCAGCACCACTGGCTTTATCCTGGCCCTAAAAAAGGAATGTACATCCATAAGAGAAGCAGTATTGAAAATAAACAACAAAAACCTTTTTTGGCCCTTACTTGGTTCTGTAGTGTAGTGGTTAGCACGCCTGCCTCAGAAGCAGAATGTCCTGGGTTTGATTCCCAGAAGAACCACATGCGTGACAGCGTTAAACCTCCTGTCTAAGCTGCTTTGGTTAAAAGCGTCGACTAAATATGTAAATGTTAATGTGCTGATTTGAAGACAGTGACGCTGTGTTAAAGACAGGAGGCTGGGCTGGAGATGACAGGGTTAAAGATGCTGTGATTTAGTCTGAGACTGATGAGGATGAACTGGATTAGAAATGATCGGTTCAGAGAAACAGCTGAGATACAACAGTTTGGAGACGTCAGAGTAGCACGGCTGAGATTGTAAATCGATTGAAACTGGGTCGAGAACCGTCTAGTCAAAACATGGACTCATAATGTGGTACGGACAATAATGCCCAGTGATAATAGTGTTTGATAGTGTTTTACAAAGAGGTCTGGTGATATTTTTCAGGGGTTGCTACAGTATAAGAAATAATATTAAAAAATATAAAGACATAACTTAGCTACTCATAAACAGTTAGATATTGTTAAATGTAGAAAAAATCCTTAGACATTAAAACCATTACCACCAAAAGTACACAATTTCAGCTGCCTATGAAAGCAGTCAACGACAGAAGACAGGGAAATATTTCACTCCTTAATATCTGCATTGTATCAAGGTTTCTGCCAGCAGTATTCAGCAGAATAAAGTAGAATGTTTACATAGAAGACGGTATCTTTGGTTTCAGTTGACAAACACTGCCAAATGACTCAGGAGTTTCTCACTCACTATATGTCTTTCTTAAATGCACCACCGGGGGAAGCAGACTGCAGAAAAGCACAACGTAGACGCTTCCCACCCTGAGGACAGCAACAATCCACCTCCTTTCTCTCTCCCTCTCTCTCTCTGTCTCTCTCTGTCTCTCTCTCTAACCCTCCACGCCTTGTGACCAAAACAACAACAGTTTTCAAACGTAAACAAACGCAAGACGAGCCAGGAAAAATAAAAAGATGCTGTCAGTGACCTTCAGCCATTTTGAATGATACCAAAATATAGTTAGAATATTTTCAACAACCAAACAAATAAAAAACATTAACCTATTTTTATACATCTATATATATATATATATTTATATATTTTATTTTCCTTGAAATATATATTGAAAAATATTAGTTTTGGTTTCGTATGGAAAACACGTAGCAGTGAGTGAAATGATTTTAGAACCAACCTTTTTGTTTGTTCATTCCTCCCAGAAACATCATCTCTGCAGGTTTCTCCAAGTCTCCCTCCACCTCAGCGGTGTGTTGCTGCATGTCGTCTGTATGTGGCTTCTCCAGCCGCACCTCTGGGGGCACTGTGGCGGTGGGGAGATTAGGTTTGCTGGGGCGATCCTCTTCTGTTTTTACTGGGGTTTTGACATTTTCTGTGATCAGGGGCTCGGCTGGCAGGGTCTCAGCAGTGCTGCGGGGAGGGACAATGCTGGACAGCAGCGGAGAGGGAGGGCTCACCCCCTGTTTGGGGCCACTGAAGCCCTGCTCTCTCTTTGGGCTCTCTTCTGAGGCAGACTCAATGAAGAGATCGCTGTCAAGCTCTGCCTCTCTCTCCTCCCGCAGAATGCTGTAGGCCGTAGGTGGAGCATGGTTGCCAGCTGAGCCAATACCACCCTTGAGAACGGGGAGATTATCAAAGGGGTTGTTGGACTGGCTGAAAGCATCCTTTCCTTTAGGCGGTTGGGCAAATGGGTTACTAGTGGGCTTGGGAGGCTCCTCGGACACCAGCTCAATCTCTGAGTCTCCAGACTCTGCACTGCTGCCATCCGGCTCCCTGGTGCCAGCATCTTTGCTTTTAGAAGCTGCCGTCTTCCCAGTGTCAGCCTTGATCACATCATGGGGAGGGAATTCTTTTTCTGTGAATGAAGGAAACCAGAGGAAAGTGGCCACCCAGGTCTTCATTAATAATACAGTATAGTACACAATACATACACATATACAGTGTGTGCACAAATCTCCAGACAAGGTTGTGACCCTGAAAAAACCTGATATGCTTTGATACGTAAACATAGTCCTCAGCAATTTTTTAAATCTCAAATCCTTGTCTGCATAAATAATAATTTGTGGTCCAATCCCTGCCTTGACATATATATTATACATAATATATGTATAAATGTAATATATATAAAAATATATTTTATTTCCTTTTAAGTAGGTTGATTTTCATTTACCTAAAACCACATTTTAGTAATATATTTCTGGGCCAGCAAACAGGTCCATCACTAAAATACTGTATGAATTAGAGTTTTAAAACCAAACCAGACTATTTTCTAAAAGGCTACTAGACAAGAATTGAAAATGGATTCACCTGATCATCGAGACATTTGAAGAATAGAAGAGAGAAAACAAAGTGTCAGGCTACAGATGTTCAGCCTGTCTCAGAAATCAAATTACTACTCAATAAAACTCTACCAGTAATGATAGAGTATTGATCCGACTGGAAGGATTCCAAAAAAACTGTTTTTAAAAGTGGGCAACAACAACAACAAAAAAATCTTTGTCAGTTATTTGTCAGTTGCTCATTAAGAGGCTGGGAAAAGGAGAAATGAACGTCCACTTTAAATGACTCAGCTGTAGGTCTGACGTCTGAGTTATAGGTTGACACTTTTGTTGATATCGCCAAAACCATTTGTCTATTTATATTTGTGTGTGTGTGTGTGTTTACGTGTTGGGGAAGCGTTGGGTGTGGAGGCCGGGCTGTCATCCTCCGGCTCTGATAAGGTCACAGTGGGAACCCCCTGTAAACCCACGCTGAGGACGTTCTCACGCTCCGACACACCGGTCGGAGCAGGAGTGTGCTGCGTTTGGGCCGTAGACTGATACTCAGTGAAGGTGATCTTCACTGGGCTGGCTGATTGAGGGGTGTTGCCCAGGTTCTGGTAGGAGCGGTAGTCTGACAACTCCTCGTCCGACGGCTCCTCCACGTATGGGAAAGAGGGTGAGTCCAGTGCTGGACCTAGGTTCTCTTCCTCTTCCTCTTCCTCTTCATCCTTGCCCTCGTCATCTCTGCCAGTGTACTTATCCATGTAGCTTCCCAGCAGGTCATGACCTCCTGAGGTGGTGTCCACCAGACTTTGTGGAGGGGCCTGCTGCTCAGCGTAGCTCTCGTCTCCATGGCTGATGTCCATGTAGTTGTAGGGTTCTGTCTTATCCGAGCTCAGCAGAGATTTGGGCATGTCATCAAAGAGATCGGACGACATCTTGGTACTGGAGCTGAAGCTGTAGGTGGTGCTGGAGAAGTTGTTCAAGGTGGAGGATGCAGTGGGAGATATGGAGGGTTTTAAATCTTCTGACAGGTATGAGTCTTCCCGGCTGGACGTGAAACTCTGGTTGGACAGCAGGGAGGTGTACACGTCGCCTTCGTCAGTCATGGGCTTCTTAAACAGGCCAGACATGAGGTCATCTGCAAGGACAGAGAGAGAGACGTAGGAGTCAGTCAGCAGCACAAACACATCGATGACGACAGTCAGCAAACAGCCTGTGGCCCAGTCTGTGGCTGTAATGAAACATTTAGTCAAACAAGGTTAGGCGTGAGCTAAAACTGCTTTTGCCGTTGCTGCTGCTACAGTAGAACGAGAGGCTGTAGCTGAAGCTGTAGCTGAAGCTGAAGCCTGGGCGCACGGCTGTGGAGATCAGTGGTGCAGCAGTAACTGAGGGCTCTCTTGTTTGGGACAAAGGAGGATTGTTCACGTCCCCCCCCAAAAACCATGCACATTTCCCACAATCAGTGTCTGTTCCCAATAGCATAAACTACAGCGCTGCCTGTGAGGACGTCGACACTCTGTACCCAACGGTCCCGCATCAACCCTGAAAACCGACATGTTTGACGTCCAACTGATGCAATCTTTCTCCTCCTCGTAGATAAAAATAGTTGGAGCCCAGAGAGACCAGGTTAGCAAAGCCTTTCAATGATAGATGTGAAATAAATGCATGAAATGAATATTTTATAGCACTGTTCGCTAACAGCATGCTGCCGTTCAATAAACATAAGAGTGTCTGGATACCACTTTTTCATGTTGAGTGGTAGTCCCATTGGCTTTTTATCCTTTCAGGTAAAAAATAGGGCGGAATGCTTGGTCATAATGAGTAAATAATTAAATAATAAATCTGGGGTTTAAATATACAATAGAGGGCTGAAATAAAAAGAAATCACTGGTTGACTGTAATGAACTTCAAAGGATGAAAAAAATCTTTTTTAATCCCACAGACGGCGAGATTGTGAGATGATTGTAGACGATTAGTTGTGAAGAAGTAATTAGAAAGTTTAGTCTCACATTTGTTGGAGGTGTACAGCTCCACACAACAGTTGGTGCTCTGCGCTGTAATATACAGTAAATAGTCCAGGTCAGTGTGTTCTCAGCTGACAGTTCACATTAATGGCTCATTCTCATGTGTTTTTATAAAACAACAGTGTAGTAACGACACAGATAAAGCTCAGCGGTGTTTTAGCCCAAGACGTTCAAACACCTGCAGTGTTGTGTTCAAGACTCAAACCAAGCTCCTCCTCCTTCTGTCCTCTGACCCTGCTTGTCCCAGGGTAACGCTGCGACTATAAATAGGCTGGTTACAGCTTCTGGGCAGGATGAAAGGTGGTTGAAGATTCAGAATAGAAGCCTTTAGGGTGAACTAAGACTGACAGATGAAAGGTGGTTGAAGATTCAGAATAGCAGCCTTTAGGGTGAACTTTGGAGGAGACAGACTGACAGAACAACCAAGAGGTCGGGACAGCCACTTCCTCTCCCTCTCTTTCCTCCCTCCCTCCCTCCCTCCTTCCTTTCACTTCCTCTAAAACACCCCACACCCTCTTCCTTCTGCTGTTCTTCCTTTGGCTGCATCCTTATACAATACATCTTTCTGCAGAGCAAGAGCTAGGTCAGAGGAGAACCACACCGAGACCCAAACTAGGTGAAAAATTAGGTCCAGAAGCTGGTCTTTGTTTTGTCTCTTAAAGACCAAAAGGTCTTATTGTTCAAGGTGGAAACTGTCTGTTGATCTGGGCGGTACACAAAAATAGCACCCGTTTTAGCTCAGTGACATGGACGCCCTTGATGAAAGCAAACCGCTGTATTATCCTCTCACTCCACTTTCATCATGTAGGTCCTATCAGCATCACCGTGGCAACAGCGTCACGTCTCACACTCACGGATTCATTAAGCAGGTGTGGGAAACAGTAAATAGAGATGATCTGAGGTTGGACGCCGTCCCAACCGTCCTCATGACAACACACTCTATGTAGAAACTTTAGTGTTTTATTTATTCATCTTAAAACTCGGTTTATCAACGTTATCATGGTCACATTTGGACACTAAGCTACATTTACAACATACTTTTATCTGATGATCTAACTTGAAGTCTGGTCTTTAGACTGAGGATTTGTTTTACTATTCTTGGTCCACATGTCTGTTACTGTTTGTACCTGAAAATGTATTTATCATTAATTAATTTTTTCACTGTTTTAAGTGCAAAGAGTAGTAAAGTGTGTAACAGGAAGAACGTGGGGTCGAAAGAAAAGCGAACATTAGCAGCAACACGCAGCTCAGCTTTCTTATCTCCTCAGAACAGTATGTGTTCGGACAGTTTTCCGGATTCTTCGACTTTTCTTGGACATCTTTTAATGTGTGGTTTCACTGATAACCATAAAATGAACATCAGTTTAAGTTACAGTTCAGCTACAAGCACCGTCACAGCTGAACAACTCGATCTATGACGCTCTCCACCGTGGTGTTACGTTTCAGGAGTCCTCTTTCACTTAGTGACCTTGTGGAAATCGACCCTTCAAGATGCTAGTTGGTTTGGTTTTGTCAGTGTAGTATAGAGTAGCTTTAGAATAAAATCATATCCTGCAGCTTTGTAATTAGTACTGTGATGGTATTATTATTATTATTATTATTATTATTATTATATCCCAACATTTATCTAAACATTTATTGTGTGAATCACTCTGTGTAAAATAACAAACAAAAACAACCCACTGATGAGAGGTTATGGTTTTGGTTATGGTTTTGTGAGAGTGGCTGGAAATTAATCCTGGGTTTTTTGTGTATGTGCAACAAACATAAAGCGGAGATTTAGCCGATAATAACAAGACCTTAAATAATTTATGATGTGAAGACAGTACAGCTGTCCAAAAAAACTGTTAAAAGGTTTTTTTTTAACAATTTCTGAATAAAACATCAAGGCTGGTGGAGGTCAGTGGGAGGCTGGTTATCTATTATGATAGAAAGAAGAGCGAAGAACAGAAAAATATCATTTTATTAGAAATTCACAATTTGCTGTCAGCATTGATTCTTCCTTTGTTCGATATCATTAGTTATGGTTCAATTCTTTTTCTACATAAGAATACTAAATGAAAATATCTAAATAAATAAATATAACACACAGTTTCACTGATTTGTTTTCTTTTCTTTTCATACAACAAAACATGGAAATAACATTTTAAGAGTGAAAGAGCGCCAGGAACAAAAAAACAGATTCAACTCAGCAGAAAAGAATCACTGTATGAAATATTTGAAACACCAATCAAGTCCAAACCCTTCTGTCCCTTCAGACTTTTTAAATTTGTATTTTCTTTTTCTTTTTCTTTTCTGTCGCATTGATTACATAAACCTATGAATTCTCTTCAATGCCGGTAAAGATAAGGAAACTTGAGAGCACAAAGACTGCGGTGCAACAAACCTACGGGCAGCGGGGGTCGATAAGAGAACAGCTGTGCTGAAAAATTCAACAGCGCTGAGCTGCATTGATCCACGACTGAGGGTCTGCAATTACCATAAGAATTATCACAGTACCTATTATTCTTAAAAAAAAAAATCCGTCAAGTCCACACAACACCAGAGTTATTGTTCCCGACTCTCGCATCAAACAGAAATCAATCTGGACTCAGTTTGAATATAAGAAAATCAGGAGCTGAGGTACAAACAGTACCTGCCTTTCACTGTATCGATCCTCGGCCTCTGAAAGAGCTTTAATGGATGAATGAAGAGGATTTGGAAGAAGCCTGCGTCTGCAGCCTGTGTCTGCAGCCTGCGTCTGCAGCCCGGGTCTG